GTTACACGCGTTACCACTCTTTCTCTCTCTTTCTCTCTCTTTTACGCGCGCGCAGGCTGTATTAAATTTCCGAAATTGGATCCCCGGGAGGATGAAAAAGGAAAAGGCTATCTCTAGCGCGAGGCGGGTGGTATCACGTACGCAGTGTTATTCTTTCCCGCGGAGGCGGAAATTCACTCCGACGTGCCCGGCACTACGTATACATGTAATACGAAAATTCTGTTTTTCATCGAGGTAAAAAGGCCCGATCCCGGCATCGATTCGCGCCCATGAGAAGCGAGATGTTTCGATAGCACTTCGATAAAACTGCTCGCGAGAACTGATTACACGAGAGAAGAGAAATAGAGATGAGAGAACCGGTTAAATTCGACACGAACTAAAATATTCGCTTCCACAATTTCGATGTAGCGGAGGGATCTTCACGAGGGAGGAACGGATGGACGGCGACGAGTATGTAACTACCGGGATATTTTCATCACGATAACGGGACGCAACGGCTCTCACAAAGTAGTAGCCCCGGCCACTACCACGACGGCGACGTTCTCGTGCGCGTGACGGTGGAAAAAATCCTCAATGAAACGTGACACGCACGGAGGATTCGTCGTTCACCGGCGGAAAGGATTGCACCCCGACTCGTTGTGTTCACGCGTCTCTCTCTCGTTCTCTCTCATCATGTCTCTATCTCGCTGTCCCTTTTTCCAAGGGAACGTCACACATGCGGCCGACGGATGCGCGTCACAGGAGCTCTCGTTTTTCTCTCTTTTTTTCTAAATGCTTTTCAGCCCGTTCTCGTGGCTGCGGCGTCGTTAGCCCGTGCACACCCCCGTCGCCGAGGGTTGGCGAAGGAGGGAAGATCACGCGAAGCCGCGGGAACAAGGTGCGCGCACGCTGCGACGCGACAGAAGCGATCCGCTTCTGTTGCCACCCTTCAGGACTCATAATGCACCGCAGGCAGCCCAGGGGAAATTTAGCGGACGCCGTGAAAACCGTTGTTTTATACGCTTATACCGGCGCACACGCGAGATCCCTACGTACGTAACGTAACGTACCGTACTACAGTACGGTAGCCCGGCAGGTAGATAGCCGCCACGTAGAGGCTAAGGTAAAAGCGTTCGTGTTGCCGGCGAAGAGGAGAAGTAAAGAAAGCGAAGACGAAGGGGGATAACAGCGTTAACGTTAACTCTATGAGCTACGGGCGCGAGAAAAATGGAGGAGCTTGTGGTAAAGGTCGCGAGACGGATCCTGTATCCAGTGCTATAAATGTATAATGCGCGGGAAAAGAAGCGCGTTCCACGCGAACGCCGAGTACCACTTCGGTCGTCTGCAAATTTAATTAACGTCTCTGTCCGGATGCATTGACCTCGACGCAACGGGATTACTCTCGTCTAATCACCCTAAGAGAGAGAGAGAGAGAGAGAGAGAGAGGGAGGAGCAAGGGACGAGAGTGGGTTTCTCGCTGTACAATGCGGATATTGGCGACGTTCGTCACCAACCCCGCGAGAGATCGGTCAACAGATCAGAATTTGGATTCGAATAATTTAATCGGAAGGATCAATGTGTTTTCTACATTGGGCAACTTATATACTCGCAAATATTTATGCGTGCGTGCGTGTGAACGTTAAAAGGGTTGATGCTCGTCGATATACGGAGCTTCAAAAATCCACACGACAACTTTTCAGATGTACTTTCACCGAGTGCGCTATCTCGGACTTGAAAGTCACGAAAGAATGCAGTCGTGAGCAAAAATTCGGCGAGAATCGGAAAATTCACGAAATTTAGGGCTTATGAAATTGATGAAGAGTCGGTGAAGTGTACGAGTTAGTTTGTTGAAATTTCTTTAACGTGGTATTCCACTTGCATATGAATAAGTCTATCATAATTAATCCATTGTTTGTTGAAATTAAAAATTCAGAAGGTTAAATGCAGCTAACTACTGAGGTAATTGGATATTCAATCATTATTAAATATAACAGATGTATAATTTTCACGTATAAAAGACGTATAAAAGACGATATAATTTTCAAACAAAAATATTTTCTTATACACACACATACACACTACTTTCTCAACAAAATTGCGGAGAGTAGCCATTTGAAGCATCAAAAGGCAATGCCTTATATATTAAGTTTCGAGATGTTTTATTACTTAATGTAGAATTAAAATATTGTCTCGAGTATTAGCTGCGAATGCAGTGTTGAAATTTCAAGGAGTCCTACGCGAAAGCGGCGAAAAAAAAAGAAATACTCGAACGAGAACAGTGAAACCGGCTCCATTTGTTCCTTCGCGTAAACTCGTCCCGCCGTACGCGCGACTGAGCGACTGAGGCTAGAACGCTAAATTAGGGACTGCATAATATATTCCGCCGCCGTGACGGCGGCACAGAGTGAAAATTCTGCTTAAAAATTCAAAACTTGGAACGAGAGACCTAATATGCGCGCCGTGTGAACTATCGCTCATGAGGCCGAGAATGTAAGGAAGAGAAATGGCTCTCGCGACAGAGACTCGGAAATTGGACGAGGTGCAGGCATAAAGGTTTCGCTAAGTTTGATAATAGAATATCCGGTGCCTTCTCCTTCACGCACCTATGTACGCCCCTTTTTAGCTGTTGCAAAAGTGAAAACGGCGGCAGGGGCGTCACCCCTCGTGTTACTCAAATGACCCTTGAAAAATCGCGAGAAACGCAGAGAGAACGGAACTCGCGGTCAATCGGAGGAAAAATCGTGGACAATCGGACTCGCGTTCTTCGCAAAACACTCCCGATTAAAACGTATCATTACTAAAATTTGCCGCACAAAGTTCGCGCAACTACCCTCGACAAACATTCTCGGTCCCGACGGGCACCCGCGGCGAGACCGGACCCGACGGTCTGTTTTACAAAATCGATAGCTCCCGTGCGAGCAATCGCGAAAAACGAAAAGCACGAGTGAGAGAGCGAGAGAGAGAGAGAAAAAGAAAGAAAGAAGAGAGAGAAAAAGAGGATGAATTAGTAATAGCCGATTGGATCCACCGTTGCTGCTTCATTTGACCTCATTTTATACCGACATTTTTTATTTCGCACCGAAATGCGAAATAAGTTTGATCGGTTACAGTCGAACACATGCTCACCCGACTTGTCCGAATCGCCGCTTGTCCCGGTCCCGGACGAGCGAGCCGAGGAGAGGAAGGAAAAATTTGGAAAAATCCGCGTGGAGAAACGAGAGAACGATGTCGCGGCGCGCTTCCTCTACGGGCTCGACAGACTGGAAGGAAATCCTTCTATTCGCGACGCTCAGTTTTAATACGGTCGGACTGCCGGCCGGCCAACCGGCCGGCCGGTATATACATCCGTTTCCGCTTTCCGGTGCGCCGCGTTGTGTCCATCCACCATCCCGGTCGCGTCCGTCTCTCTCTCTCTCTCTCTCTCTCTCTCTCTCTCTCTCTCTCTCTCTTTCTCTAGTGCTTTCGCTTGCTATCTCGCGGGGGAGTCACCTCTCCTCCGCAAATATTCCTCGCCAATCCTTCAATACCCGGACAGACGACGGACGGACAGGCCGGCGATGTCGAGGGTGAGCTGTCCGTTGGAAATGTCGCTTTCTGGAGCGCGAAATTGTGACGCGACCCCTCGTTCCGCGTGCCGACGTCTTCGTCCAACGTGTGCTCTCTCTCTCTCTTTCTCTCTTTCTCTCTCGCTTCCTCCTTTCGCCCTCTCTGTTCCTCTTATCGTTTCACCTCAAAAATATCCAATCGTCCACGTCTCCGAGCAAGGGACGAAGCGTTGACTACGCGGGGAGTCCGTCGCGTCGCACGCGCGGCACGGATATTGGAATATTATTGCTCGACATCTACCGTGATATTTTGGCAAAAGTGAAACCGTCCGACGTTGCTTTCCTTTTATTCACTTCTCTTTTCTCTTTTTATTAAAGTCAATCGGAACGGTGAACGCATCGAGTCGCGACGATCGAAAATTAATTAAAATTCCAGCGTGTTGGAAGTTACCTCCCGCGTTACTTTTCCGGGCGAGATCTCTGTCTTCGCTTTGCGCGACAGGCTGGTGTAATATGCGGGGCGAAGTGCGTTTGAGAAAATGATCGAAGTTATCGGATGCAGAGATAAAAAACACGCGCAATAACCGTAATACGCGGTACGTGTATACGTTTCTCGGTAAAGCACAGCGGCTCTCTCTCTCTCTCTCTTTTTTATGAAACGCAATCACCTTTCGTGTCGCACCTGCGTCAGTCAATCCCGTTATTTGTAAGTCAAACGGATTTCCCTACGTTGGAAATAACCGCTCGGAGTTATTGGTAATGCGATATATAAGGGCGCAGGTAATAACGCGGGTCTTATTGAACGCGCGAGTCTCGTCACACACCACGTTAAAATTATTCTCCGATCGATCGCATATCTTCGGCACGACGACGGAGAGTTAATCTTCTTTCCTGTCTAAACTCGCGTGAACGGCCGAATCGCTAGCGAATTATCATCATTATTGGAAAACGTGAAACAGATCCCTTCTCCTCGTGACTCTCGCGGTTAATAGTGACTAATTTGTCAAGTGTTCTACTTTTCCAATGATTTTTTATTTTCTAATTTTTTAATATCTTATTTTTAATTTCCATATTATCAGTAAATTTTATATAAGATAATATATACGTTAAATTCAGTTTGTTTACTACATAGTGCTCCTTTTCTTCGATAAAGTTCCAGAATATTTTCATAAGTTGAAAAAATTCTTCTTTTAAGTACATGATAATGAGCTTTTCTCAAATTTATGAGACATATTTTCAGATTATTATCAGGAGAAAATATATTCTTTATTGAAGATAATTATTATTTAAAAGGAAAGAGTAAACTGTGAGCGATCGCTTCTCTTAACAGTGGAATAATCTTTTTCTGTGTGCAAATTCGCAAGAGCGATATCGGTAAGAGCGACGCTATAACTGTTACACAATGTAGCGAAACTTTTCCGTCCGTATGACGGAAGGTGCAGGTGGCAAATATTCGATCAGTATCTCGTGTTACAGGACCGCCGTTGCCCACGAGAGCAGTCCTCGATGGATCGGCCGAGTTGCCGTGCGACATTCGTCCGCCGCAGCATAACGACTCCGCTATCTTGGTCGTTTGGTACAAGAGTGATATCACACCGATCTACAGGTAAGCCGTTGACTCTTGCTTCTTATGGTTATCGAGCGGAGCCCGGGGAAAATTAACATTGCACGCGAAAGATTCGTTGAATGAGACTGCAATACGAGCTTGCAGCTCGGTGTTGCACCCGTTATATTTTAGTTTCGCTATTTCCGATGTGGAATCACTCAAAACTATCGAAATACATCCCGAAAATACGTCGAACGTTAATGGTACTTCAAATTTTGCCAACTGAAAGATATATTCCAATAAAATCTGGTTGAAAATACGTATTTGACGTATAAAATTGAACCTCCCTGATTGCGGTATTTCTAGTTAGCTTTTCGAAAAGGATGAATATTTATTTTGTTCGCTATGAGGAATTAAAAAAAAAAACACGATGAATTTATAGTTCAGTTATTCAAAAACTATTCCTAATATAATCACCAAATCTCGCGGTGTAACATTCCACCTGTCAAAATTAAATTTTCCACCTGTAAAATTCGAGAAAATACGTAGCTTTTTAGACTCTATTTTCTCCCAAATGATGAGATTCGCACATCACTTTGATAATTATATATCTTTAATTCCACGAATAGCTACAATTTTAACAAAAGATAATTGAAGATTTCAAACGCCACAAAATGGGACTAACCTTGGCCGCACTCTTTATACGCACAATTTTGCACGTTACGTAACCAACGCATTCGATATTAACTGTCTCGTTCTCGCAATGCATTCTGATATCCTCGTGCAACAATATACCGCATATACCACGTGTTGCGATTGCACACATGAACGCGTGTCATAACAAGAGCAGCCGCGCGCGACGCAGTGCGAGCGCGTGATGCGCGAGCCGCCGAAAAGAACGGCGTTTGTTTCACGTTCATATGTCGATTTTTGCCGAGATACAGGCGTGTGAAGTTTTCAAAGGGCGCGCAGTGGCGGCTTTGTCGGCGGGAACGAGTGGCGGGCCTCAGACCCCCTTTGAAATTCGCCACTCGTCGATATCTCGGCTTGGAAAAGTCGTAGCGACGCGAAACAAGTTGTATTCGAAAGCGGAGACTGTCCCGCTTCCGAGGAGGGTGCAATTGTTCCTCTCGGGCCAAAGATAAATCCACGATTAAAAGCGATGTCGAATTCTCTCTCGGTACGGAGGAGGGGAAGTGAAACAGATTGGATCGCAGAAAGTGCAATCATCCCTTTGTTACAACGTCAAAGCGAATTCTAGTCAGATTATTTTTTCATTATTTTTATCATATAATTCATCCCAAATGATTTTTCATAACTTTACAAATATATCAGAAAATGCATAACTGAATGATTGGAAAGTAGGGGTAGTTGGGGATAATTAATCTTTACAATCCGGAAGGCCATTATAATGAAATGGTGGAGATATCATATTTTTTACAAATCTATCCTTTGATATATATGAAAGTTTTAGTTCAAAAATTGCAAAACTGGCTCAAAGAAAGTCTGTAAAGGCAAATATTAATGACTGCGCGATTCTACCTAGAGCGGTTTTTCTTTAATAAGCATATCTAGGTCTTTTCTTGTTTATTTGTATTTGCTAAGTTAAAAAATATAAAGTTTAAATAAATATAAAGAGTTTAAATAAGTAAAAATAGAGAAATTTAATATTTTAAAATTTAATATTTTAAACAAAGCTTTTACTAATTTAATATTTTAAACAAAGCTTTTACTAATAAAAGCTTTTACTAATAAAAGCTTTTACTAATAAAAGCTTTTACTAATAAAAGGGTATACTAATTAAAGGATTAATGTGAGGATACAGGGTAGGGTAGATTTGACGTAGAAGAATGTTGTATCACGCATATTATACATAAGTATTCCGCGCGTGTGTTGACACTGTCAAACATCATTTTCCTCCCCTTCTATTATCTAAAAATTATCCGCACAAACATTTTTTGGTTCTTATAAGCCTTATCTTTTTTCTGCTTAGGTATGAGCCTGTCACATGGTTTAGTTTCTATGAAATTAGTTTATGAGTTATTACGAAACGTCACGAAATCGTCGAGAATTGTCAAAGAAACGCGTCAAAGGTAGAAAGTGCGCGAGAAAGAGAGCCACTGCTTTACGCTGCGTGGTATAATGGATAATTATTTCTTCCCGCCGGCTCGTTCGCTCACCTTTATCACTTATCTCCCGGTCCCGCATCGGGGTTAAGTTACCACTGCGGCACGGTCGTATAAAAAAAGCGTACACCCTGGATATACAACGTGACCCGTGCTCGTTAAACATCACGATAAGGGCGACGATAGGAAGAAGTCCCGCGCTCGCTCGCTCGCTCGCTCGCTCGCTCGGTCGGTCCACGTAAGCGATATTCACGCGTGCGGCTCGAGCTCGCGTGTGGCTGGCCAAAGCGCGGCCGTGCTTTCATGTGTGCGGACCACGTCGATTTTTAGATTGCAGCGCCCGATATACCAACACTACCACAACCATGGGTCGCTCTACGGTCTGCTTACGCGAAAATGCGAGATCGCCCGAGCACGAATCCGGCTGAGCAAAAAATATACAAACTAAGAGGGACTCGGGGTGATTTTCATATTTACGAGCGCGCTCCGCCGACATTCCGCCGGCCGAGTAATCGTCCTGAACGTATTAGCCTTTAATTGCGCACGAGGCTCCGTCGACGGCCGGGGATCGAGGAACGAGTGCGTGCACGTAAAAAGCATCTGAGGCACGTTCGATTCGGAATACGACATTTTTCTCGATTATCACATTTACTCGCGACGCGATAACGACTGAACACAAGGTTTCTATAGGAACGATTAAACTCGTTACCGAGTTCCAGCTCCAGCGGTATCGCGAGATAAATTCGCTACGATCGCATGAAAATGCAACTGAACGCGGCTTCGTGAAATATAATCAAGCATCTCAAATACGAACTTCGGCAGTGCTGTGTAATTAACTCCGCGTCAGCGCAAAACAAATAGCGACCGAGTCACCGATCATTTATAACGGGTGTTTCCTGCTTTACTGCGGGTCGATTCGAGTATAAATATTCTCTTTGATCCGTCTTGATATAAATAGCAAATTCGGCTAGATATTAAATAACGTAACAAAATAGAAGTAGAAGTTTGAATGCAAAATCTTTCGTTGTAGAACTCAAACAAGTCGTTCGAACACCAACCTGACCAGAAATTTGCTCTGTGGTTCTGTATATAATTGTTTGATCTTTGTCAGTTGTCTGGTTTGTATAGGATGTTATTATCGAGTCTACTTATTAATAAATGATTGCTACGCTGCGTTATATGACTTAGCAGGGTCTGACTTGTGTTACGGAGTAAATATTTGATCGGGAAGACGTAGCAAATATTAATCTTCGACCGTTCATGAAAAGTGCGGGTCGACGCGAAAGTCAGCTGCTAAAGGATCGCTCGTCGGCGCACCGGTGAGCCAGATAAAATCGCCGGATCACGAGCCACAATTCACAACGTCGAATTGAAAGTCCGAATGAAAAAGCGATGGGCCGTTTGTTACGTTCTCCTCGATACGCCGACCGCAATCAAATTGGCAGGCGTAGTCACTCGTCGGATAAATTTCTCTATTCCGTCGTCCACGCGATTCGCCTTCGTCGTCGGTGCTCGCAAAGTAGCGCGAACCGAGTGCAAGTAGAACATGCATACGCTTTCTCAGACACGCACCTTCTTACAAAAGGAAAACGTGGAGTGGATGGGAGATAGCGGAAATTCGAATTAGCCGTCGTGAGTGTTATTTTAACTGCGAATTTGGCATATGTAATTCTCATTTGAGCAGCGCGTCTGTGTACACCGTGGGAGTAAGGAGCCTCAATTGCGGAGTTTACCTTGGCTTGAAACAATCGTCACGAGAGAAACCGCGAGAATGGCGCTGTAAATATTAGATGGATTCCGCGTACACACATCCGCGGATTAGTCGGTGGTGCGTTTACTACGCTGCAAATTAGATCCCACCGGCTCTCTGACGTAACACCGTTCTCGCCAGGAGTCGACGCCGAGATCGTCGTCGCATCCCAACGATTGTTTCCGAACCGACAATTAGAGCCGAGCGGTCGAGAGAACTGCCATTCGCTGCGGGATGGCGCGAGTTTCGCAAATTTTCGCGCTTTATCGCGTCCGGCGCCGTGAGGGTCGTACTCGAGCGAATTACGGGGATGCGCCGCTACACTCATTGCTGTACACAGTTACACAGCCACTTATTAATTCACGGGGTCATCGAGAGATGCCGCGATCTTAATCAAATTAATCGCATTTCGACGTGGCAGCCTGCGTCGCGACGTACTCATCGCTCTTTTCATTACGGTAATGCGAGGGCGGCCGGGCGTCGCATCAACTAATGGATATACGAGGGGGGCAGGTGAGAGAGATAGAGAGAGAGAGAGAGAGAGAGAGAGAGAGAGAGAGAGAGAGAG